AGTGAGTATTTCACATGATCTGAACAATAGAATAGAACGGAATACTGATGAAGGAATTGTTTAGTCCAGCTATATACAGCTGTATTTATGATTAGTTACAAGCTTTCCAATTCAAACACCTACAGATCTAAATTATTGATTCAAAGTGAGTCTGATCTGCATGTTTAAGAGCACTTGGCATGGTCCAATGGCCCCATTGGTGACTGTATTACTGATTGGATCTGGGGGTGAGATTTATTCCACCAGCTGATCTCAGTCTAATCATTAGCGTAAATATCCACACTCAGAGTGTCCCACTGGGACTGAGGGGAACTATTGAATCGTTAATGCTCATGAAGGGCTGTTTCGATTGTATGGTTTCTGCATTAAGATATAGATGGAGAACTCACCGACGCAGCATGAGGTTGCGACAACACTGTGTGGCTGCCACCCGCGGTGGGTTTGGGTCGGTACGGAATGGTGGCTCCTTTAGGTGGCGACTAAATGAGGGAGACAAGCACAGTCAGGACAAAAGCAAAGGCGTTTAGGCAGTATGTGTCTAGAACTCTGTTAAGCCTCACTGGATTTTACTGTTCAAAGCCCAAAGTTAATGCGGGCCAGAGAAAATCCTGCAAAACAAAGGCATCCAAGGTTGGATGCTGGTAACTAATGAAGCAAACAAGAACATTTAACATGCAGTCCATGCGCTGAAAGTGCATACAAATGAAGTGTGAAGGAGAAAAAGACCTGAAAAATACACCCCACTTGAAATAACATTTTAAGCATAAGGGAAATCGTGCATAATCGCACCGATTTTCAAATAAAAAGCGGATGCGCTCTCACGTGCACGCTCACAAACCTCCAGCATGACGGTGCAGATGTGTTTCACACATTGTGTGATGGCATGAGGGGTGCCTGAGATGGTCACGGCTCGCTCAGTCGAGTCAGGCAGTAGATCTCCTGCCACCTGGACCTGGGCACCTGTGCTCTGACACACAGCAACACTTTTAGTCAACACATGCTGGACAGGATGATTAGAAAAGCCACAAATTACATCATTCATATTTCTTTCAGTAGTGACATTTAAAAGGAGAAGGTCACTCCACATCTGCATTCCTGGTCACCCTGTCTGCCTGGGTTTATTTTGCAATGATGAGCGAATGACTGTACATTATCCTGCTTATTACATACTGTAGCTACTCACCAATTAAATAAATGTGCGGACATCAAATTTTAAATTAGTTGTAATTATTATATTTATAATAGTTGTATTTTATAATCTTGCCTGCACTCTTGAAATGAAGGGTTTCAAAAGTTTTTTTTTTTT